AATTCTGGTTAAAATCTTACATTAACAACGTGAAAATTACACAATTATTTGGATGCCTTATTCCGCGCAAAATTTGCTGCATAAGAAATCCACAGATTGCCTTAGTTTCCATGGTTACAATAACCACCTGTGGAATGTCGCTGGTAACACGCTCGTATATGTGAGCATGTGCAACACAAATATTCGATTCGTCCTTTTATGCAGAAATGTGTTTGGGGTTTAATAATCGTCCTTTATTCATCGTCTTTAAGTTTGTCAGTCCGTCTGTGCTACAATCTTTTATTACAGTCTCAGTGTTTATTAAGATCCCTTACGTGTTTTACTTCAACTACAGCATTCCACCGTCAACTACATTGAAACGTCCACTGTCCTTGAATAGGAAAATCCTCCAACAGATAAATCATGTCTTCTGGCGCTGCGATCTGCTTAACCAGGGATCATACTGCCTTAAGAAGCGTTTCTTAGCTGCTATAATAATTTCACGCATCTCCGACGATATATATAGCCAACTTCAGCGTCATAAGAATCAGCTGATTGACCACATAGGGAATACCGATATTCGAAAATTGCGGCAAGAAAGCTACGTTCTACACCCAAGTGTAAATTACCGAGGGGCTTATTATCCTTTTATATAGCATAGTCTATTTCGGTGAGTTCTCAACGAAATTATGTGTGGATATCTTGTCCATTCTGCTATGACTGATGCCATTTCTTCCTAAAGTTTATAAGGTCCACATTGAACTGTTCAACAGGTACCAAACCTCCCTAACGTGAAGGAAAACGAGGCGTACAGACCCGGGATCTTCAAGACGATCGCGTTTCAGTATGACTCAGAAATGATGACGAAGAAAGACAGGAAATTCGTGACACGAAGAATTGTCCGCCCGCTAATCCCACAGGACATCCTGTTTGCTATTGGTGGGTATCACGAAGGAAGGCCGTCAGATGTGATCGAAGCGTACGACGCACGAGCAGACCGGTGGAGTGTGGTGAGTTGTACGCATTTCTACTATTACCGTGCCTTGTTAAATGACGCCTCCGACAAAAGCTAGATTTCCTCCTTTTTGCTTATTTTTACGAAGTAATTGTTTATTTAAGCTTAATCACGGGCACCTCGTTCCCTCTTTATTTCGTGTTCGTTTATTTCCATTGCAGTGAAACTTTTTTTAGGAGTAACTCCAAAGACATGAATTAAAAGAATAAATAAATGAATTACTCAAATGCCGAGTCTCGTGTAAAATGTAAGTTCTAATGGGAATCGACGAAGGATGTGAAGTTTTCCTTAAATACCGTTTACAATAAGCGTCCTACTTCACCTGTCATGGCGACCTGTCTGCTGATTTTAGAAATCGTTGATCGTCTTTGGATCTCAACGTAATAAATGAAGCACTGATCAGTGTCTGTGTTTGCCATCTGCGTGGTAACGCCTCGTGAATCAGAAGGCTGACAAACTGTTTGGGGTGGGTTGGGGGACGAACTGATTCCAGATTTGCGTCGATAAAACCCAAAACACCAACATCTGTCTTTACCATTGTAGGAATCTGAAATGTCAGCTGTTGATCAGAAATTAATTCTACATTTGTCTGTCGTACTAGACGAAAGCACTGGTAATGTTTGAGCTTCCTCCGTCTCTCGTAATTCCTCCATTGCTCCAAGTTCGTTTCTCACTGTCTTTGTCGAGTGCTGTAGGCCCGGCCACCCATCACGGTGTAGCAATTTCGGTCCACTGTTGAGGGTTGAACCTCTCCTCCGGTGGTTGGTCGCTTGGACTCTAATGTAAGGACTTCACTTCAGTAGACTGAATGACCCAAAGAAACATAAAGCCATAACTTGTCGTTCCTGCAGGTGGAGGGTGTCGACTCGATCGCTCCGCGAGTCTTCCATGGCACGGCAGTAGTCGGTTTCGACATTTACGTCATCGGTGGTGTTGGCGACTTCTATGAAGTTTTAAGCTCATGCCGCTGCTTGAACGCAGTTACGAAGACATGGCGCGAGGTGGCGCCCATGAATGCCCGAAGGTAAGATGCAGATCGGTAACTGAGGAAGTCCTTGGAGCAGAGTCCTTCTTCAAAAACTTATAGTCATTCTGTTAGTCAAGATATAAATTTGGGCAGGAGATGTAAAATTGTACCACTCACATACAGGAGTCTCGTGCAAAGTGTGAATAGGTAGGAGGACTTTTGCGACAATTTTGGTTCTAAGAATGCGATTTGCTTGTTAATTCATTTGAATATATGATCTAACAATGACGAGCGAACAATTGCGTTCTTCGAGAGGAAATGCATCTCCATCAGCAATAAATGAGCTTGGCAGAGTGTGTTCTTTTTCGTTTCAGGCGAAGTTTAATGGTGGCAGTTCTGCGAGGTGCAGTGTACGCCATGGGCGGTTTCGATGGTCATCTGTGTGACAGAACGGCCGAAAGATACGACTGCAAGACAAACAAGTGGTCGTGGATCGCTTCCATGAACACAGGGCGATCCAGTGCAGGTGCGGCTGTGCTGAATGGTACGTAAATCCTGTTAAAGAGTAGTGTATGAGTTAGTGCAGAAGGCGAAGCGTCTGTCCGCGTGTGACAACGCAAGAACGGTTGAAGGAATCGCGGGATTTGAGGTTCTCACGGCGGGGAGTACGAAGATGGCTCTCGTTTGGTTTCTGCCGACGTTTCAGACGAACATTATGCCTTAATCATCAAGACATTCCTCTTTGCTTTTGATCTTATTTTCCCTCACTCCATTGTCCCTCATTCTTTTAATATCTCTTCTTTTATCCGTGCTATTTACTACGTTATTTCACAGACTGCAACGGCTTGAATTCTCTGAGTGCGTGATGGTGTCTTGTGCTCTCGTAAGCTGTCCCTGGACATCGCCTTCTGCCTTTGTAGTGTACACTAGGGGTGAATGCAAACAACCATCAAACTATCAAACTGGCTCTCATATAATACAGATGTAATATGTTTTTGAGACAGTTAATTATCTCGTGTTAAGAGCACATTATATTATAAATATAAAGCACCGCTTGTTAGCTCGTACCGTACATCTGTGGCACCAAATTTAATAAAATTCGATTCACAGAAGATGTAACTTACTATCGTTTCCATTCTGTATTAATTAAGCAATTTTTAGGTGTTTATATTAAATTTTTGTCAGTTAGAATCTTTTCCTTTCACACGCTCTTTTTCTGAATTCAAAACGAAGAAACAGTTGAACAGAGACAGCGGT